ATTTCTTCTATTTGATTATTTCTCTTGTTGATGTCTTTGTGACATTTGATATTATAAAAATAGTAGAGGGTCAGTTTTATTTGTATTTATAACCCATACAGATTGGGTAACCCACTATAATACAACTAAATCATTCTGTTACATTTAAAAATATACATACTTTCCTTCACCCACATTGCCAAGCTGGGGCTACTACATTTGAATGTGTAGCGATAGGGGTACCATTATTGTTTATTCCCGACGGAATCGCCAAATATGTAGCGGTCATATTATCATTGTTGTTGTGAACGTCGAATGATGAACATCGCGGTCATCATTATTGTAGTGATGGTGTTAAACATATTTTACCTTCGGCTAGGAAAGGTGGGATTAAGGACAATGTGTGGACGCAGTGCAATTTATATTTGACGTAAAGCACATAGTATAAAATACAAAACTGAACAGAATGATTTCAAAACATAACAATTAAATTTACTAATGTTTGATGTACATGCATGCGAACTGAAAAGGTAGGACAGAGTCGTGTCCCTTTGATTAGGTATTAGTTGTACCTGAATTCATATTAAGAAAGTTTGGAATTGTGAGTTGTAAAGTTGGTAAAAGTTCAGGAGTGATTTTAGAGTTTGTTGTCGGAGTTAACTCCTCCTTCAGTCCGTTAACCCTTTCACCAGGGGTCTCTCTTCCCTGGCTATAAATAGCCGCTGGCCCTTTGCCTCTATCTCTTTTTCTTTCAGGATTTCAGCTATCAACCTCGAAATGTAGGCGCTAACAAGGGATAGCGTGGAAACACGCTAAGAACAATACACACACGCGCACGCACATACAGAATATTCACACACACTTCGTCCTTTGTATTGTTTCCATGTATTGTAACTTGTTATTAATATATATTTGTATATACATATATTATCGGTCTTGTGCTTTGTTTGTTTTCTTTGCCTTCTTCTTTGGACTTAATCAAAGTCCAACCTTTTTATGTAGTTGGGCTTGGCGAGCAGGAGTATCTGAACCTTACATGCGTTTCTTCTACGTCTGACTTCTATCAACAACATAACAGCCATGAACCCACTACATTGTGAATGTTGGTAATTGTCTTTCACGTCTGGCCAGCAATGACTAAGACGGGAATTCCTGAAGGTTACATCTTGGCACTTGAAGCAAGGAATGAGACGTGCGAGAGAGATGAATGAAAAACTACTCAAAGAGTTCACACGTGTTCGGTTTATATAATGGTCGTGTACTACATGGGAGGCTCAAATGGAGAACGCGGGATTGGTTGCATGCAGGCGGTTTGATTGGTCGGAACTGACCAATCAACAAGCTAGATTGGAGGTGATTGGCCAATGAATACTTGTTATATTGTATGAAAGTAGAATTTGGCTTACCAGATAGGAAGAGTGCATTTCCTAAAAAGAGGTAAGGCTGGTTTGTTCTGGAAGATCCCACAAATGCATACATATATGTACATACATATATTTACTTTTACTCTTTCTCTTTCTATCTCTCTTATGCACCAGGACTTTTACACTTGAACTCTTGAAACTTCAACTTTCACCTTAACCTTCTGTATTATTATATTGTAATACTAGCAGGAACACCTGGCATTGCTCAGAAGATACGGAATAATAGTTTGTTATTGTCAGTTTATTGATATTTTTCAGCCATTTTATGGAAAATAAATTTTTATTTAATCTTTAAAATAATAAACTTCATTGTTTTTTTTTGCTTTGTTACAAAATAACTAAATTTAGGAAAATACCACACAACCAATATCATGCTCAGAGAGGGTGTGTGTAGGGGCTGAACATCCCCCTATTTTTGTTCAAAAAGACACTTTATTTTTTGATTTAAATACTAACATAAATAGTCTTGTAATGTTGTTTTTAAACAAATCAAACTTAGATAAAAGTTCATTAACCATTGTTCAAATTATTATTAATAAAAAAGTAAATAGACTTAAATTAAGAAATATTTAAGCATATTTAATTTAATCATTTTTTCAAGCAAAAACTATAGTGGGTCTTACTTCATTGAAAAATAATTACTTACTATTTATTTGTTTGGGGGGATTTAGATTCTTTTAAGTAAATAAAGTTTTACTTTTAAACGTTAATTACTAATTATTTTGAAAGAGAGTAGAAGCAAGATACATTAATAATTTAGTTTTAAAAAGTGATTATATTTAAATTTCAAGTAATATTTGTATTTGAAAAGAAAAAAACTTTACTTAAATAAAAATTAGCAGCTACAGACATTAGTCATGTCGAATATTTGTATTACAAATTTAACTATATTTTATTTAAATTATTTACTTTTTTATGTTAGTTACAAACCAAAAAAAACGATGAAATTTTTTTTTAAAGATTGAATAATAAGATTATTTTTCAAAAGATGTCTGAAAAATATTAATAATCAATAATACACACACACACACACACACACACACAACTGCCCTTTAGTGTGAAACTGAGTCTGTATATTTATTTTGTAACTGGACACACACACATATTTGAATAAATAAATATTAAACTTTTTGTCAAATAATTGTATTTAATAATTTTTTTTTTTTTAAATTTACTTTGTTCTTTTAATATTCACTTTTTAAAGTTACACTTTTATTTACTATAGATGTGAAAATAAATTCAAGAGAATAGAAATTTTAAAAATACTTACATATATAGCATTTAGCAGAAATAAAAAGTTAAAAACAAACGGTAATCCTAATCTGGAATAAGAATTATTACCATTCATTTTTACTTTTTAATTCTGAGAATTTCAAATGCATTCTAATGCATTTAAAATATCTTAGCTGGATTGGGTGATAATGAGTCTGTATATATATTTACTTTCTTAAGAAATATTGTAGTTTTTTAGTTTTAGATGGACACATGAACACACACACATACAGACAACTGCCCTTTATGTATAGATAAAGATTTATTTTCTATTTATCAACACTATACATTTTCTTTTAATTATTACACAAGGCCAATATACAACCAACTCAATTATACTGATGTATGATAGGAATGGATGTTGTAAGATAAACAACTCATCCATAATTTCTTTACAGTTATATAAAGAAAATTTTTTGAAGATGTTATTTCATTAAAAAAGAATGTATGCAATATCAAGTGTGAATATATAGAAAATTTGTCCTGTACAGTGCCATATAAAAGTTTACAATACATTACAAGAAATGTTTTTTAGATATTTCTAATACAACTACATTAATTAAACTTTAACTCTTCCTAGAACATATATTTAGGTATTCAGTCAAACAATCAGAATTTTTTTTTAAATTCAAAAAAGCATCCCACAAAGAAAAACTGATATTTAGTAACTCAAAAGTTGACAAAACATTTTTTTTTTTTTTATTTACAACAGCTTCTTTTATAAATGTGTTCAGATTTTACTAGAATGTTCCAAATTAGGTTGGGGTTGTTTTTTAGAACGTTCCAAATTAATTTTATAGTTACTTTTAGGAATGATTAAAAGTAATGGCTTTGGTATGCTACTGCTGTCAACAATCTTCATCTTCTTAGCTCACAGACAAAACAATACTTACTTCAGTAATTAAACATAAGTTGTTCTTTTAAGTTTTTATTATTTTAAAAACAAATATTTGTCTTATTTTGTTCTGCCTAATTTGTTCCTCTAGCCTCCAAGAGCATTTTCATAATTATGACGAAGCTATTTTATTTGCATATAAAAGAATACTTTACTGTAGTTTTCCTAAAATTTACTCCTAGAATAAATGTTTTTCTTTACATATTAATCTAATGTAAATTGCATTTAATTTTCACTATATTATTATTTTGATAAAGTATTAATGCCTTCAAATTTATTCATTATATCAAATTCAATAAAAGTGTATAGAATAAAAATTATATTCTTAAATTATTGATATTATAAGTCTAAAGAAAATTTATTATTACATATAAATAACAGATTTTTTATTATTGCACTGCTGGTCTTCCGTATTTCTTTAAGCTTTTATTCTTACATTTTCAGTAGCTTTTTAGAACAGTGGTGGAATTATAGTATTTTTATTATGTCCTTTGACCTCATAGGCATACATAAAATGTTATTTTCATTCTGTTTTAAGTAAAAAAAAAAATAAGCATTACTTTTAGAAAATCCAGTCAATTAATCCTTAAATTTAATAACAGACTTTGAAACACATGTCTAGGACAAATATTGTATTTTAAAAACTGAAAAGAGATCTTTAAATTTGTTATTTAAATTTTTCGTATACAATGGCAGTTCAATAAGTGGATAAGTGATGAAAAAATGTGTGAAGATTTTAAAAATCCCTAAAAAGTTTATTTATATATAGAAATTAATTTTTCTTTTAATTTAAGGCCCTTATCTTTCAAATAGAATATAAATTTAAGCTTAAAGAAGACATTTAAATTAATCTACATGCGTTTTTCGATTTTTAAAAAAAATAATAACAGAAAAATAAAAATTTTTAAAAAATCTTAATTATTTAAATAATTTAAATGTCATTTTAAATAATTTAAAATATAAATGTAACTAAGAATTAAATTTTTTAAAATGGAAATATCGCCTTCAAGTAATGATTAGGAAATTAGTTTAGTAGGCTTAGGTTTGTTTAATTCTTAAATTATATGGCCTTGTGCCAGACTATGCAAAACTCAATTTAAAACCAATTACCAGAAACATTTTACTCTATATATTTAAATAAACTGTTTTTTCCCACCAACATGTGGAGAGTATTACTCAGTAATCCTACCGGAAGCGGAAATAAGTACCGGTGTTGGCAGTGCGCATGCTCCCTAGCTTTAAGCATGGTTTTAAACAAGGGAGAAAGATTTGGTTCGATGAAAAGATAAATAATTTATTGTTGTTCTTATTGTTAGTTGCAATTATTCCTTTTGTTATTCATATAAGCGTCAATATAAGCACTTGTTCTTTCCAGTAAAGGTCTTAAATCCTTATTGTTTGTAGAAAAGGGATTTTTTTCAAGCACCAAAATGCAAGATATCGTGGCCCCTGTACGAAATTTGAGATTTGATATAGAATTTGCTTTGGAAAACCAGATAGGATGCCAACCTCTCCCGTTTCCTGGAATGGACAGTAAGTAAATAAATAAATAAATGAATTTATTTTTAGTTCATTAAAAGAACGTCTAAATATTCCGACGGATATATATATTTTTAATTTCTTCCGACACTTCTACAGGTTTTTAAAGTTTAAAACACGTACGACATTTATATTCACTATGTAAGCATTTTTAATTTTAGTATTCATTTTATTGCTCATAATTCACTCGTTCATAGTATTGTAGGTATTTATTTACGAAGCTGGGTTTAGCTTTGAGTCATACGTGAAATAAGTAACAAGGATCGAACTCATTATTACAGCACAAATCTTTCTAACATGGAGAGGTAACCTAACCATAAGCGAATCTGTCACAATGTCAGAACAACCAACAATAATTTAAACTCGACGGTCCTGGAATACGAACTACTTGACAAACATTGCTCTGTATACCGAGGCGACTTTATTTATTATTTAAAACAAAAAAAAAAAACTGCTATAAACCTAAAGTCTGTAGCACGGACACTGACTAAAAAAAAATGGATCGGGTCCACTCAGGGAAACTTTTTACAGAATGGGGGATAACTTTTGTTTTTGTTTGCATTGTTTTTAGATCTTCCTTATGTCGCGACACTTGTTAGAATCGAAAAACATTGATTTGTTATCGATTTAGAAGGAGGGTTCTGTTCGTAAGATCGACTCAATGTCAAGTCGACCCCTGAGTTTTACAGAGTTATTGGCCTTAAGGCTAAGTTACTATTTATTACAAATAGGAAGCTCAAATTGCTAATATCATTGATATTGTAAAAAAAAAAAAAATAAGCAGTTTTCTTTTCTTTTTTTTACATGGGATTTTTTCAGGACACACAACTTATAGTCATAATTATTATTTATCTTAAATGAAGAATAAACGGATACATAATTTTATTAATTTATTTAAAAACAAAAATCTTTATTAGTTAAATAAAGATGTATATATCCGTTTGTTATTTAAAAGAAATCTTTTTGTAACCACCCATCCAAAAAGTTTGTTTTCGTATGCTAAGCCCAATAACTGGTACAAAAAAAAAGTCAAGAATCAGTTTGACATTATTGCATCAATAAACCTCTCCTTCTAAATCAATAATAATAGATTGGTATTTTTCGATTCTGATAAATGTCACGGGCTAAATGCTATTTATTTTAAAAAAAATATTGTAGCCCCCCCCCGCAATTATCAATGGACCATTCTAAGTCAGTACCTACACTAATTCGGTTAAAAAAGAGCATACCATGATGAAAAAAGGCCCCAAACTTGATAGAAAAAAGTTTTATAGTTAGTAATAAATGTTTGTTATTAAGAGGAAAGACCAAGGTATTTTTAATTCTTTATACAGGGTGTCTATAAAGTTCGTGTGCACTTTAAAAAATTTATAACTTTATTTGTATTTGTGATAGAAATAATTTGTAAAAAGGATTAGAAAGAATTAAATCTATGTTTTTTAAGGTTTTATTGAAATTTTATTTAAGTTTCCACATGTCCTCTATCATTAGCAATACAAAGCGTAAATACGATTTTGCAGTTCATGGAAAACATTTGCCAACTGATTTACAGTAATGCCTGAAATCACATTAGTTATTTTAGCTATACTTAAAACTAGGTGCATTAAACTTTATAACATTTTTTACAGATTATTTCTATCGCAAATACAAATAAAGTTATAAATTTTTTTTAAAGTGCACACGAACTTTATGGACACCCTGTATAATAAGAATCTATAATCCTTATAGAAAAAAAATTGGAAAATGACCCAGTGAAGGGTCATGTGGGCCTTGCAGACATACCACCATGACCCTCCAGTGGGTTGTATGTGAGGCAACGTGTTAAAACTGTTTTTCATGAAAATAG